GCGGGACTCGATCCCCAGGACCCTGGGATCATGACCTGAGCCGAAGGCAGACGCTTAACCGACTGAGCCACCTAGGCGCCCCATGAATTTGGAATTTTTGAACTCTTTATCCATTCAAAACATACTTGATACCTTAATGACCTATGAGGGCATGGATTGCAGAACCAATCTGTGGAGTCCCTTCAGCCGCAGGCCTGGAACTCTGATTTGGTCAGCTGCCCTGGGTCATCTGCATGGAGGGACACAGAGACCCACAAAGTCTTCAGCGTACTAGGAGGAGTCATTGACTTTGTGGTTAAGAGAGGGGAGGCTGGAGCCCCAAGTGGCTTTAAGCCCTACCTACACACCGCTTTTGTGCTGGGTTGCTTTGGGCAAAGTGGGTTAACCTTTCTGAGCCTAAGGTTCCTCCGCAGTAAGAAAAACTAAATGAATTATTTATGGCCTGTGCTTGGATAGGCTGCATCAATATTTGTCTGTCTTTCTCTAGGCTTCCCTTTCGATGGGCACATTTTTCCTTAGATATATTGTCTGCAATCATTGTACCGTCAGATCTGGCTGGGAGCCACTGTAGCTCTTTGGAAGTTTTTCAGTAGATCACCATCTCCAGGGGAAGGTGAAGCAGGTGACAAAGCCAAGTGTCACTGGCCAGGTTGGGGTTTTGTGTCTGCATTCCTGCTCATAGGGGTCAATAACCCAGCAGATGCAGCTAATAGTTACTTTGTGTGTATCTAGACTCTGTAGGCAGGACTTTCTATTTTCTTAGAAGAGAAATCAGAAATCTGGAGTTTTACCATTTTTATTTATTTATTTTTTTGTTCCCTCTCTCGCTGTGTCTCTGTCAAACAAATAAAATCTTTAAGATTTTATTGTATAAGTGATCTCTACACCCAATGTGGTGCTCGAACTCACAACCCTGAGAGCAAAAGTCACGCACTCTACTGACTGAGCCTCCAGGTGCCCTGAATTTTATTGTTTTTAAATGTTGTCGACTAATTTTCATTCAAAAAAGATTCTGTGGGTCACTCAATCCCTTCAACAAGCTGAGGGTGCTCCATGCGATGCCATTTTGCTGCGTGTGTCTCTTTCATGCTTGGCAAGAGGTCTCTGAATATCTGGAAAGTACACTTTCACCCTGAGAAGAGACCACCTGCTCATTTACAGTCATTCCCCCCCCCCCGGCCCCCCGCAGATCTAGGCAACCACTAATCTATCTCTGTATGTTTGCTTTGCTGGGGGGCGGGGGACATTTCATATTGTGGAATCATGCAGTGTGTTCTTTTGCATCGGCCTTTCATGTTTTCAAGGTTCATCTGTGCCCGAGCATTGGTCCTTCATCCCTTTTTCCTTCATCCCTTTTGCTATAATTGGCATACAGCAATATATAAGTTTAAGGTGTACAGCAAGATGACTGGACTTACATTGTGGAAGGACTACCAGAGTAAGTTCAGTTAACATCCATCATGTCATACAGATATGGAAAAAAAAGAAGGAAATGTTTTTTTTTTTCTTGTGATGAGAACTCTTAGGATCTACTCTTAAAAATTTGCCACGTTCCTTTTTTATTACTGAATAATATTCCATTGTATGGATATTGTTTGCCCATTTACTGGTTGACATTTGGGTTGTTTCCACTTTTTGGCTCTTGTGAATAATGCTGCTATGAATCCTGAAAGATTTTTACAACAGGATGCAACAACAGTGGGGACACATTTTTCTGAATCATTTGCTACCATGCCTTGAAGCAGTGGGTGGTTTCTGGGCCTTTAGTCTTAGACAAGAAAATACGTAAATGATACGAAATCCTTATTTTCTTTCCAGCACAGAAAATCGATTGTATTTTTGCTATTACTAAAAAAAAAAGTAAATACATCTTTTTAGTAGAAAAAGAAGGCTGGTACAAAAAAATCCTATTTTAGGGCTCCTGGGTGGCTCAGTTAAGCGACTACCTTCAGCTCAGGTCATGATCCCAGAGTCCTGGGATCGAGTCCCACATCGGGCTCGCAGCTCAGCGGGGAGCCTGCTTCTCCCTCTGACCCTCTCCCCTCTCATGCTGTTTCTCTCTCTCTCAAATAAATAAATAAATAAATAAATAAAATCTTTAAAAAAATCCTAGTTTATTATGCAGGGAAACCAATTGCTGGCAAGTGTAGGCTGGTGGGCATGAAGGTGAAGGGAAGACAATCCTTTCTCTCACTTCTTTCTCACTCAGATACTTGTTTCCTGGCTCCTAGTCAGTGAGTTCATTGGGAGGCCACTTCCTGCATCATCTTCTAGAGATGTAAACATAAACAAGATGATTTCTAATGAGCCCGTGTGCTTTTCCAGTACATAGTGGAAGCGTGGTTTTGTTACCTGTCAGTTGACCAATGGGAATGTATTCATGTGTGGGTGTAGCACCTTGACATTGGATTTTTTTTGTTTTTTGACATTGAATTAAGGAGTTGTGATTAGAAAAGTGTATCTATATTCAGAGAAAAAAAAATTGAGAGCATGCATAACCTATGCACTTCTTTCTCTTTTTTTCCCCCTCCCAGAAAGAGATCTAGGACCCATTTCACCACTCTCCATCCATTCCTGATCATCCATGGTCATGTTGTGCTTACATTGCATCTTCCTCAGCCTGGAACATTCTCCCCCAGCTTGCCCCCTGCCAGACCACCACAGTGCCACCTTCTGTTGACATTTTTCCAGGTGCTCCTTTTCCCGTCCCTCCTTTGTGCATACCTCTAGAAGAGCAATCATTTCCTTGGTTATACCTGCTCGCTTGCATGCCTTTTCCCCCATGGGGTTTAGAGATATCGCTGTGTGTCTTTTCATCTTTGTAACTCAGTGCCTGGTACAGTACCTGGCACAGATCTCATGCCAGGAAGACATGCTTGCTTCCCTGGCCCCATGAGCGATGAATGTTAATAGAGTTGTAAGGTCGACTCCAGATTTGGCTGACTGTGGAGATGTATGCTCACCATAGGTCTGATGGCTGGTGACAGCGCTTTCATGACACATGTGGTTCCTGGGGTCTGAAGAATTACTCAGTTTCCCTAAATCATGGGTGATACTGAAACAGGGTGCTTTTGGAATTCTGATTACAGACTAATCAAGTGAAAGCTTGAAGAAAGAAAGGTCTGATCTGATTTTAGCAAAAATCTAATCATGCAAGCATTGTAGACTTACTAATTGCTAGGGTTACGAGTGATCATGAACAATGAGTGAACAGTGGCTGTTGAGCAGGCATAATTTTTGTCAGTTGAATTGATTTTTTTTTTAATGTTTTATTTATTTATTCATGACAGTCAGAGAGAGAGAGAGAGGCAGAGGCAGATGGAGAAGCAGGCTCCCCGCCTAGCAGGGAGCCCGATGCGGGACTCGATCCCAGGACCCTGGGATCATGACCTGAGCCGAAGGCAGACGCTTAACCATCTGAGCCACCCAGGCGCCCCAGTTGAATTGATTTTTGTGCAAGGACCTTGTCGGAGTCCGTCCTTCACACGGGGTTCTTCTGCCCTGAGCAGCTATAAATGCTAATGATATCCACATATGCACTATGCCATGAATCTGCTTTAGGTATGTGTGTAGGCAAATTTCTTTCCATTAGTGGCTTTGAAAATTGCCCATAAGCTCCTCTAGCCCATGTAAAATTTTTTTTACAAGTTACCCTTAAATTGACATTTTTTACAAGAGACCCTTAAATTGAAAAATCTATGTCTTTACAGCAGATGGAGACATCCTTTATATCAAGGGCACTCCTTGGGATCTAATGCTGGTGGCAATATTTATAAAGTTAGCTATGAAATGCAATTATTTACCTATTTTCCTGATAGTCTTGAGTGTCCCATACGACGGGGCTCTTCTCTGCTCACTTGAAAAGGTCCTTTTTTAAAAAAAAATTTTTTTTTGGCCTAGTGATGCTTTTTGTGTACAGCAAAGTCCTCAAAACTTAAGGTCTGGCTTCCCAATTCCCTCAGTGATTCCCTTTGTCTGAACTTGACCCATTCTTTCCCCCTCTCTCCTACTTTTGGTAATATAGAGACCCCTCATTTAAACAGTACCTTCTCCTGTGAAATGAAGTTTGCTTGTGCATTTTGCAGGTACTACTCCGTCCTCTATCCCCTGGAGAGAAAAATATCTGATGCCAAGTCCCGCGAACTGGTGATGTACATCTGGGCCCACGCAGTGGTGGCCAGCGTGCCCGTGTTTGCAGTGACCAACGTGGCCGACATCTACGCCATGTCCACCTGCACCGAAGTGTGGAGCAACTCGCTGGGCCACGTGGTGTACGTGCTGGTCTATAACATCACCACGGTCATCGTGCCTGTGGCTGTGGTCTTCCTCTTCCTGATACTCATCCGCCGGGCCCTGAGCGCCAGCCAGAAGAAGAAGGTCATCATCGCGGCCCTGCGGACCCCACAGAACACCATCTCTATCCCATACGCCTCCCAGCGGGAGGCGGAGCTGCACGCCACCCTGCTGTCCATGGTGATGGTCTTCATCTTGTGTAGCGTGCCCTACGCCACCCTGGTCGTCTACCAGACCGTGCTCAACGTCCCCGACACGTCCGTCTTCTTGCTGCTCACGGCCATCTGGCTGCCCAAGGTGTCTCTGTTGGCCAACCCTGTGCTCTTCCTGACTGTGAACAAGCCTGTCCGCAAGTGCCTGGTGGGCACATTGCTGCAGCTGCACGGCCGCTACAGCCGCCGGAACGTGGTGAGCGCGGGGGGTGGGCCGGCCGGCGCCAGCCTGGAGCCCAGCCTGCGCTCGGGCAGCCAGCTCCTGGAGATGTTCCACATCGGGCAGCAGCAGATCTTCAAGCCCGCGGAGGATGAGGAGGAGAGCGAGGCCGGGCACACTGGCTCGGCTGAGCTCCCGGCCCAGGAGCCAGCGGGGCCCCGCCGGCAGGGGGAGCGCGGCCCGCAGCGCGCACCTGCTGCGTCTCTCCCTGTTTGCCCGGGGGCGCCTGCGGCCCCTGCGGAGCCCGAGACGCTGCCTGACAAGTACTCCCTGCAGTTCGGCTTTGGGCCTTTCGAGTTGCCTCCTCAGTGGCTCTCAGAGACCCGGAACAGCAAGAAGCGGCTGCTTCCCCCGCTGGGGAACACGCCAGAGGAGCTTATTCAGACAAAGATGCCCAAGGTAGGCAGGGTGGAGCGGAAGATGAGCAGAAACAATAAAGTGAGCATTTTCCCAAAGGTGGATTCCTAGTCAGGACTGCCGAGCTCCCACACTCCTGCCTTCCCTTCACTCTGGCTGGCCCCAGGGTTTGGGGCATCTCATTGTAACCAGGAATCGGCTGCCTCCTCCTGCGTGGGCCCTCCTGAATGAGAGGGAAATCTTGAGAAGATCAGTTGTCCTCTTTATTGAAGGAGTCTACGTATGTGTCCCTGTGATCTGTGTCCTTGGTGAAGTGTGCATTCCTCTCTGTGGAGACAAAAGGTGGGCAGTGCGCAATGGGTCTTGGGATGGGTACTCCATGTGCGTTTTCCGAGGACTCCTTGATTCCTGGGCCCGGCAGGGAGTAAGGGAGAGAAGAACATCTGTGAGCTCGAAGGCAGCAGGGGCACCCTGAGGGAAGCCCAAGATAATTACGGAGTGGTGTGGCCACAGAGAAAAGGCCTATTTGATTGACTCAAGTAGGACAAATATTAAAAAACGTTTCATATTGATATGTATCTTCAGGGGAGATAGGGACTTGGCATTTGACACCTTTTCTCTGGAAGGCCTGATCGGATGAATCAGTTTCTCCTGAAGCCCTTCATCTCTTTCACTGGGATGTAGATGAAGAAAGGCGTTTCCACCCCCATTTGACAGACAAGGCAATAGGTGGGCCTGGGGGTCAGGGAGGAGATATTCTGTCTCGAATATCCTGATATTCTCCTGGCACCACTGAAAGCCTCAGAAAGTCTGTCTGCAGTGTTGGTTGGAAAACACTACAAGTGCTTTACTATGTCTTTCCCCCTGAATTGCATTTTTTTCAATCAACGAGAGAGAAGCTAAGAGGTAGAGAAGAAAGACAGAGATGTCCATACCCTGTAGTCTCTTCTCTTCCAATGTTGATTTCATGTGAAAGGGGCCATGTCACCATCAGTAAGAGTGAAGTATATTGAAAAAAAATTACCTTGCGCCAACTTTTAGAATTAAAAGGTAATTTAAAAATGCAGAGTTAGTGTAAACTGGGTCCTCTGGAAACATAAAAATACTTGATTAGGAAAGGTGATGCTGCCAAAAGAGTGAGAGAAGTCAAAGATGGCTTCCTTCTGATGAGGACTCCAGAACCCAGGTGTGGTCAGCCTCATGTTCAGTCTCTTTTTGCAACTATGGTTCTCCCTTCATTTTGGACACAAAGGAGGAAGAGGACAGGGAGAAAGATTTTAATCATTTTAAAATGCCCAGGTGGCACCTAGCCCGGGGGAGCCCTTCACTTCCTCTTTACGTTTTTAAAGTTTTAAAACTTTACGTTTTAGCAGGAGTCAGAGTGGATAGAGGAGGAGGACAGTGTCCTCAACAGATTAGCCTCCTGGCGGGGGGTGGGGGGGTGAGGGTGGGCTCTCACAAGCAATTCAAGTCTTCTCTGGGGTGGATTTCACCAGGCTAAACTCAAACCATTGATGACACTTCACTTTTAATGATGGCAGATCACGTGCCAGTTCCACTCTTCTCTCTAGGACATTTTGTTCTTGGTAATAGTATGTTGGGGGGGGGGGGCAATCCAGTGCCTTGAGCAAGCTTGAATGAAAGTGGACATTCTCACCGGCAAACTTCCTTCCACATCCCAACGGCAGTGGCCCTCATGGATCACTTCCTAAAACCGCACTGACCTGTTGTCCCTCTCAGGAAGCTCAGGCTATGTGTAGGGAGTTTCCTTTTCCTGTTCTCTTCCTGGGTGTGGTGTCTTGTGATTCCAGAATCTGAACCCAAAGTCCCTTCCCCGGGAGAGGGAAAGCCTTCCTCTTCGCGTTGTGTCTCCTTGCCGTGTTGTGTGCGCTCAGCACAAACGGGGGGCTGCCACACCCTCTCGGCACCCCCCACCTCCCAGGCCCTTTGTGCATGCCCTGATAGTTAACTGTGGCCCTTCAGGCTTATCTTTCAAAACCTTCACAGTTGTTACAACGTTTCTCCAGGGGAAACATAATTTGTCAGAAAATTGTGTTTAGAAGAACCTGTCAAATGTAGCCACTTTGGTGGTGTTCTGATAATATATATGTACATCTTAACACATTCTGGTGAGGCAGAATTTGGGAGTTATTTCTTATGTATGTTTGAAGCGGATGGTTGACTTCTAACAGGTCATTGCCAGATGTATTTCTATAGTCTTTGAAGAATTCCGTTTTAATAAAAAACTGAAAAGCCGTTTCTGAACTCAAAAAAAGTTGAATGAGCTTGGTTTTTTTTGTTTCTTTCTTTCCCTCATGTGGGCATATTAAGGTAAATGCTGAATGTTGATTTAATGAAAATTACAATGATAATGGGAAGGTAGAGGAGAAGTAGAGGGGATGATTATGCAGGAGAGCAATGTCCTCATTTACCCTGACAGGATGCAAATGATGTCCAGAGTGGATGATGCAAAACAGAGTAGAATACACATATTTAGAAATACGGAGATGTGTGACTGTGGCTGAAACTATTGCAGGTCCTTGTCTCTGGGACTGTTTTCGGTGTTTGTTTTAAGCCTTTTGGTTATATTTTAAAACAGTCTACATGTATAGATAAAAATACAAATCAACTTAAACACCTTCTGAATTTTGCAGCACACCATCAGAATATGCAAAAGAAAATAGAAGAAACCATAAGCGTCATTAAAGGGAATTGAGAAAATAAGACAATTTAGGCTTTCAGAATCAGAGTAACCAATGGCTTTCTGCTGATACGCTCAAATAATGTCAGTTTACTCGGATAATTCCTTTGGTTCGGGTCTATGAACTGGGCAGCTACAGGCTATTCTGAATTCCATATTTTCTCAGTAACCAAGAAGTAATATTTTTTTCCTTTTTTTGTGTGTATTCACTAAAGTACATTTAAGAATTATTGCTACTTTCGGGGTGCCTGGGTGGGTCATTCGGTTGGGCATCTGCCTTCGGCTTGGGTCATGAACCTGGGGTCCTCGGATCCAGCCCCGCATCAGGCTCCCTGCTCATCAGGGAGGTCTGCTTCTCTCTCTTCCTCTCCCTCTTCTCTTGCTCGTGTGCTCTCTCTCTCTGTCTCTCAAATAAATATAATCTTTAAAAAAAAGAATAATTGCTACTTTTTAAGAGCAAGTTTTTAAGTAACGCTAGTTTACTTCAGAAATTTCTTTTATTTTTTATTTTTTTTAAAGATTTTATTTATTTATTTGACAAGAGAGACAGCGAGAGAGGGAACACAAGCAGGGGTCATGAACCTGGGGTCCTCGGATCCAGCCCCGC